CGATTTTCTTATATTTTCTATCATAAATATGTATATATAATAAATTAGTTTTGGATCCCGACTTACAAGAATAGAAAATAACTATTTAAGAAATTAAATAATGAAATATCCGACGACTAAAGAATATATAAAATTATATATGAAAATCGAGATATTATCAATCCCCATATGATATATAGATTCTGAAAGATTTTAGATCTCTGCCCCGGATTTTCCCGTTCTACCGAACCGCCACGCAGACAACCAAAGAGAGAAAAATAATTCGAAACCATAGATTTTTGGTAACGCGACCCCTTCATTCAACCCGGTCACTCCGCCTCATTTATCTCTCTTGGACTATCTGCGCGGCAACTCGGGGGAGCGCATGCATCTCCGTGAATAGATATCTTCGACCTAGAAATTCTGAAAGATTTCGATTCTCCATATTAGATCTACGCGTACCTCCGATTTATTCAATCGCACGGAATATATATAATGGCCATGAACCTTGACGAATAATCCCCATATAAAACGGACGAATAATCAATATATATAACCAGATGCGACCAAAAACGACCAAGCTCATAGATTCTGAAAGATTTTGAATCCACCCCGGGCCTATCCCGAATCGCTGCGCATATAACCAAAAAGAGAGGAATGATTTGAAAAATCTCGAGAGATTTTAGATCGCTTCAAGATTTAAAATGATATTCAATATAAATTAAAAGATCATATCAGAATATATCGATATATATAATATTATATAAGATTAAAAAGACATATATACGGATATATATATATATATTTCTGCAGAAATTTACGATCCTCAAATCATAATGAGAAAAAATCATAATGAATAATTGATTAGAAATATTTAGATTGGCATTAATTATCACATATTTCTCCAAAATTTATTGTATGCTTCCTATAAATTAGTAAATCCCAATAAAGAAGATTCCAATAGACTTATTGCTCATTACGAGCTCGTATCTTAAATCTATACGACCAATTTATAGACTAATTGAATTCCCTATCCCGAATCTATAGCATCTCCCCCCCAATCCCGCCGAAAATCAAATAAAGATAAATCATTCAGAATATATAGAATATATTTCGACGAATAATCAAGAATTAATATTGCGCATATTATTAGAATAATATTTAATAGATCGTCGAGAAAGAATCAATATATAAGATAGCCTAGAATAAAGATTAATTTTTCTAAAAGATTTTGAAAAATTTTATTGCGGCTCTTCGAGAGACTATATACTCGTAAATATATATAATCAATCTGAAAAATCTAAAAAAATTATTTATATATTCCCGTAAATACGGCCAACCTATAAATTCAGCCGCGCAAATAGGAAAACAACACGCGGAAGATACCGCTCCGGAGGCGGCAAAAGCCACGCGACCTTGTAGTCGCACCGCCCGCACCAAAAACCTCGAAGATTTTAGAGCCTCTAGTTTTTCCGAAAGGCTCTAAAATCGGAGATTTTAGATCCTCTAGGAAGCCCGCAGGAGCCATTTTAAAGGTGAGCCGGAAAAACCAGGCCGCGCAAGTGGCCGCGCCATAATATTGAGGTACTAAAATAAAATAACAGAACGTGATGTTCTGGAGGACGCGTTTTGTGCAGGTCACGAAAATATTAGAGTTGGAGCACTATTCTAGAATTGAGGCTGGAAATGAATTATAGGCTCTATCCTAGAATTGAACGCGCTTTAACTCCCTTATAATAAAGGACAAGGGAAAGGAAACGCGCTGGGCTCCTTTATAATAAAGAGAAGGGAGGGAGGCGGAGAAAAAAAAAAAATATAGATTTTAAATTATATATATATTTTTTTTTGCTCTGCCCCCCCCCCTCCCCAAGCCTCTGAATCTCTTTCGTAATACTAGAATTCAAAGAAAGATTTAATTACTTCTCGCATAATCAGCTTACATCTACTTAGACCAACATAAGCGTCTCACGACATTTTGAATCTGACCCATTCGTTGAATATAATTGAGTAGCAAAAAGAAATGCCATAGACCCGTTATTCTTGTGTGGCTAATGTTTCCTAAAATTGACGTTATATTTATCTCCGCAGCATTTCTTTTTATAACCAGATAGCCGTACGAATAGAACTCCTTTAGTAGCTATAATAAGAAGCCTCCGGGAATGCAAGCCAATATGACCAAATCAAATCCAAAGGAAATACTGATTTTGAAAATCTTTCTTATTTTATATATACAATACTACATTCTAAGCAATATTACGGAGCTAGAATAAGCTAAGCATGAAGGAACCTTAGAGATATCCAAAGAAAATCCATTTGGAATATATTTTGACGTGCCCCTTTCCCCAAACCCGCCTCAGATATTGCCCTCAGCTCTACGATCACTTGACCGTCAATTACAGGGTCGTTAAGTCTCGTCGGAATAACTTATCTAAAATTATTTATTGCCCTATTAGCTCCTATTATGATTATTTGGGTAGATTACGTGATTAATGATCATGAAAGGAATTGATAGTCGCGCATATATAGAGATCTCAGCATGAATTATCCGGTGCCCGGATGGGATATATTGAGCACGCGGCTGCGCCTCAGCCATCTATGAATTATCCTAGCATCAATTTCAAAATAGAGGAGCTATGGCGAGAACCAAGCTCTCTTGTTGCGGCGCTTGGAGGCCTAACCGCTGCAAATATAGCAATGACCAGAAGAAATTGAAGAAAATCGTGAAGAAATCCTCTTCGACAGCGAAATTCAAAACTACAGAATCCGAGCGTTTATCTCTCAAGATAGAGCTCCAGTAGTTGAAGGTCCAACGCTTGCAGCTCGAAGAGAAGAAACGAATGGACAAGCAAGCAAAGCAACAAGAGGCGAGCCCGGTTCCTAAGTCTTCTGCGCCCAACTGGTCCCGTCAGCGAGGATGGCGTTCTCAGAGTTCTTGGTATAATCATCAGAGTAGCAGCGACGCTAAGAAACCGTATTGGTCAAACCAATCCCGGTCGTACCGCCCAGACTCGTGGAAGCAGACAAGCGTCAGCTCTCACGATAATTGCCGCGAATGGGTGCGCAATTCAGCAGCAACATCTAGGATGCACGATGGCTTCAATTAATCTGGCACGATTCCTCGCCCTGAAAAAGAATAAGAGTTGCCCTAGAGCTCAAACTGGCAATATCGTGCGTTGCTTCTAATGCAGCCTGTCGGATACGCGAGAGTCCAATATGAGATATAACTGATTTCTCATCTTCCCTGGATTCTATCAGCATTTCCTGGATCCCTTTAAATCCTCGTCCCTTCGTCTCCTCATATCCGAATTTCGAATAGAGGGATTTTATAAAGATTTATGCGTTAGGGAAAATCTATGATGACGTGATAGAAGAAGACCTCATGGGGATACGGGGACAGGGGAACACGGCGACAGGGAAACGGGGGACACGAAGATAATAGGATATGAGGACAGAGGGATACGGGGATAGAGGGACAAGAGAAGAAGAAGATAAGGAAAATATGATAGGGCCAGATACGAGGCCGTTCCTATCCTTTTATTCCTGTTCGTCCCCCTGTCCACTTATCCCTATATCCCTTGTCCCTGCGTCCCCGTCCCCTTGTCCTCCTATCCCCATATCCCTCTATCTCCTTATCTCCCCGTCTCCCCTATTAGGCTTATCTCCCTGACCCCTTGTCTTCCTGTCCCCGTATCCTCCTGTCACCGTATCCCCCTATCCCGTCTCCTTGTCCCTCTATCGCCGTGTCCCTTTCTCCTTATTTCTATCTCGTCCTTTATTTCCTCTTATGCGCTCCTACCCCTGGACCTCTATATTATTTTATCTCCCTCTCCTCTTCTATCCTCCCTGCCCTCCCCCTCCTCTCCGTGCCTTGTCGTCGTGGGTATCCTCATATTGGAGCCGCACGCGCCTTGATTCGTTCTCGCTCATGACTACGCGATGGTCAGATACTGAAGTTACACAATGAGCATCCCATATAATCGGTTCAGCTTCTATTATTTTGCTATCAATGCATGCACGACTCATATGATACAACTGCATGTTGTTACTCTTGCCATTCTCTCAGGGCCTCAAGGAGTTAATACTCGAATAGCGCGAGTGGGAAACAAGAGCTTGACGATAAGAGGAGCGTATAGAAGATAACGTATAAATCGAGAGGTTCGCATAACGTCAATATGAGCCTCTAGATCCCAGAAGAGATATCTCATATCGCATATACAGAATAAAAGCCGCGCGTTAAGATTTCCGCTAGAAAAACCAAATAATCAGCACTGACGTGCCTATACTAGCATGAATTTCGTATAGAGAACCAAAACTTGCAGAAGTACGTTTTGCCAGCGTGCTAATATAAATAGACATACCAATCAGAAGCGCTATCCAGAAATATGACCAAATATCATATTTACTTTCCCTCATACGAAAATTTAATATGTATAAACACGATTCGCACCTCCCAGGTTTCGGGCTCAACGTCCGGAAATCGGGCCGTCGATTTCTTATATTAAGATGAAATAATATATATTATATATTATTATTTACGAACGATTCAATACTTTCATATTTTAGAATATATAAATGTATGCTCTAAATATGGATGCATTCTCCTATGAAATAATTATCGTAGTACTAGCCGGTCTACGAAAATTGTATGAAAAATACTAAAATAGCGGTTTTCCTCGAGAAAACCAACCCTCTACGCCGTCGCACTCTCAAAAATAAATATAAGATGAATACTTCAAAATATTTATTTTGTTCAGACGCCAAAGCCTGGCAAGATTTCAGATTTCATTTATCTCGCCCTTAAATGAAATAGCTAATACATTGCCACGATTATTCGTCGCATTAAGGCAAAAATATTTGCAAAACTGCGTTCCTGAGACCTTCTCTGACTTTGAAGGTGCGGATCCACGTTCCGGGCGAGAGCACGCTTATTTTCAGCATCCAGAAGTCTATACACTGCAAATGGAACAGGCCCTTCACTTCGTCAGAAGCCCCTCCCGTGAGTCAAACTGGCGAATCATTGTTCACCTCGGCCCTTGGACTCCTCGGTCGGGACAAGTTGCTCAAGCACTCCTGACTCTGTGCTGGATGTCTCTCACTACCTAGGGCACAGAACATCACGTCACACTGAACCAAGGTTCTGTGAGACGACGTTTGCTGTGAATCTCTACAACAAATGCAGTGCGAGACTGTTGGCTCTCTTTTGCAAGCTGGACACCTGTATCCAAGCAGCTTGCCGTGGTCCCATCCCAGGCCTGTAGAGCTGGCGAGTAGTGTGTACAGATGCTTTCTGCTTTCAAACTCTTTCCAGCTTTCAAGCAAGAAAGGTCCCAGGCCTTGCAGGTTATTCGGGATTCCAGCGGCCAGGCAAAATTCCTAAAGACACACTGCTTCGACCACTCCACAGGTCGCATCCTCTTGCTTGCAGTCGTACGTGCTGCATTGGCTACATAGCAGTGCATGCAAGGCTCCAGTTCAGCGTTGCAATATCCTTGAAGCCATACGTATAGGTGCTAGCGTCATTCACTGCAATAGCGCTGAAGCCACCTTTGCAAGACGAGACACAAAACTTCAATACCTACAGCTACGTGGTCTGTCGACCCTACCTTGCTCGCCACCAAAACACATCCACAAGCTGCAGGGGCTTGTCATGTGGCAGGGGGAGGCAGCACGGATACTGGAAGCTAGGGGCACGTCTAATTCAGCTGCCTTCCATCTTGACATTCTCCATCGGTGTCTGTTCGTCGTCAACCCAATCCGCCAGCACAACTGCCTGGAAAGCTGACTGAAGCTTCGACCCTCCAGTCCCACCACATCACACGCAACAGCCCAACTGTCATTTTGTCTCGTGTCGTGCCAAACGGCCAGCCCGCATCCGCATCCTACTGTGGTAATTCAGCAGCTGCTACAAGCAGTACGGTCTAAAGTGTGCAAGCCCTAACAGCATTTCCATTGCATAACTTCAGACGAGAAGCGTAAATCCCAAATGCCGCAGCCTGGTGATTGAGAGCGTTGACGCGGTAGCTCACCTTGAGCTGCGAACACTTGGATATCCACCAGCCGCACATCAGATATCAGATATTAGATTCGGATTGGGACGCCTCTCATCATCAGCCCAAGACTCTGAACTACGGATCTTTAAGAAAATCTATGCTGAAGGCAGACCCGCGGACATAAGCATCAGCTATGGTTGCAGCATCTGTCGGGAGCCATTCTGAGTGTTTAAGAGACACTCCGTCAATGCCCTGGCTTTGGGGACAACCTGGCTGTAATGTTTTCAGGCACTAGCTGGATGGTGCATGACTTTGCAAATGTTAGCGGATGATGCTGATAGTTACATCTGGTACAGCATCATCACTACAGCATCTCGACAACGTCTACTTTCGTGCTGCAACGAGCTATAGCAACACTCACTTCATGCCTGCCCGAGTTATGCCATATGTATGCAATGGTCTTAGAAGCAGCATGCACATCGCCACTGAGAAAAAAAATCCAAGTGCTCGTGCCCTGATATAGTGCCACGCTGGTGCTACCGTTGTTTGTACTGCGCTCGCATTTGCACTCCAGTCAACCAATCTTCATGGCAATTACCACTAGAATACTGCTAGAACATCTCGTTCTGCATACCTTGATGTTAGGCAGGGAGGGTTTTTCCAACCATATCTGCGCAGCACATACTGCCGTACTTATGCTAATACCATTTCGCAGAAATCCTGCCAAGCCATATGTCCGAATACAGAAGACTGCCCACATGAAGGCGTGGAACCACGGGAGCACAAGGGTAGCGTAGGCAGGAAGCATTCAAGAACCCCAGCGGCAGAGCAGGCACCAAACCGAACTTTGGTGTTTGCATGGCTAGAGTGGAAGTATCGGGGGTGAGAAGCTCATCATGGGGGGCCCGCTTCTTACTCAGAGGTTTTTCTCGCCATGCCACACTTTCGCACGGAACGGAACTTGCCTGTCAATGACCCAAAGCCGACCTCCTGGTACAGTCTGGCTGCAAAAATGCAACCAAATTGGCTAATTTACCCCAAGCCCCGCCGTAGTTTGAAGAAGGAACCTGCGCACTCTTCAAATTGTTTCTTCTACTGCTACCCTACCAGTACCAACAGCGGTATTGGCACCAATTTATTTCCAATGCCAAGTAAGCAACCTGATCTAGGCTCCTCTCAACTTGGAAGCTTATGGACGCCGCCTTGAACCTTTCGAAACTTTAAAAAAGAAACTCGCCAGTTGATAACATTGTGTGAGGTTCATACCACGCAAGATGAAACGTAAGCTGCTTGGTTCGGAGAAGACACTAACATCCTTTTGGCCCCAGTTGCTGAATGCGGCACCTTTTCCCACGTCGAGGGCTTGCTGGATTCGCCCTGAGTGTATTTGAACTCGCTCTGATAGAAGAACGTCTTGCCTCAAGGTCAGCATGCAGCAATCGAGGGAGAACATCAATCAGCTTTTGCATCACAAACACAGCACATTGGCGCATGGCCGCTGAATCCATCAACCATATTTGTTCGTTCTAGTTGATGCCGGATCTCCGGTATGGGTGCAACTTTAAGGAAGTTGTCAGGGCTTTGACTGCGATGTAAAAGTCATCTACTTCCAACATCCCCACCCTTACCTTTTTAGGTTGGGCGCGGCAGGGCAACTCTGGGGTTGAGAATTTGGTGAATGGTATTCTGGGGCTAGGCAATGCAAACTTAGAGGCACTGCCTTACAGTAGGGTATGCTCTGCGGCTGAGCACTGCAGGAGTACTCTGCGGTTGGGCACTGCGCGGAGGGCAAGGAGAACATAGACTTGCTAAAATCTAACAACCCCACTCTGTGAGGGTGGGGAGCATGAAATCCATGGTGTTCACAGGGTTAACCCCCTGGCTGAACATATACGAGAGAACATGAATGATTCCCCCATACACTGGCACTTACTTATCCTGCGTTCCAGTGCTGCGAGCGGCCATTCTCCCCGTTCCAAACGACTATGTCGTCATTGGCATGCTCCGCCATAAGGCCATACATGTGCACCTGTTGTGCAATGCTGCATATCTAGGGGGCAGTGGCAGGTAGCTTGGAGAGTGCCAAGACGCTCCAAAGTGCTAGAGTCTGCTAGTAAGCAGCGAGCTCATGTTAGCTCCAACTTGGTCTGGCAGCGAACCAAGGCCATGGCATTGGCAGCGTTGACCACGAGGCAATGTTTTAAGTAGCGCTGAGGAATGCAAAGTGCACCTCCCGGCAATGGATGCGCCAGTTCTTACACATAATGTTGTAATGTTGTAACAAGTACAGCATGCTTGAAGCATGGCCTCCGCAGGTAGGTAGACTCTAAGCGTTGAAAAGGAAAACACTCCCTTGTACGCAACCGGCTCACCAATGCCTGAGTTTGTGACGCAGTGGTCAGCTTTCCACAGCCACAGGTTGTCGCCAATTACATACCCATTGTGAATCTCCAGCAGGTTCTCCACACCTCACAAGTGCGCTCTCAGGAACCTCATGACGCCCCATGATGCCATGCGCTTTGCTGGAAGCAAAGATCGCTCAGCTTGACATGTAAAAAAACACATGCTCTTTCAAAAAACATGCCGGCATCAGCTGCGTGCATTTTCAAACAATGAAAACCCTGCAGGTCACACCACAGTCTCCTGCCTCTACTGCTTTGATCATGTGCGTCTTGTCTTGGCTGCTAGAGTTTGTTCAGAAGCTATTCTGCACACTCCGTAGGAATTAGCATGCATGCACCCAGCAAAAAAAGGGGCCACCTGCGTCTTGTTTCAGCTTGGGGAATGAAAGCCAAAAATGCGGACTCTTCTGCTCCTTCTATGTGCTATACGCAGTCTGCAAGCTGCGCGGGCATCGCCCGCAGCACAGTGGTCCCTGTGCGGCCTGTATCAACGGAAAGAAGACATTGCGAAGGGCACATATCTCGCTGCCCCACCCCTTTTCTTCACCTACCCACAAGTGTAGACTCATTTTCTTCTCTTTGCCTTGCGCTCTAAGGAATGCAGTGGCCCTGGGACACGCCCATGTCTTCTTAATTAAAGTGAAGGCCTTTTATGGATGTCTTGTTGAGCACCGCTCCTGGCGTGTGTATGGCTCCTCCACCCACAAAAAACACATGCGACCTCAAAGCGGACACAAGTGACCCAGCCCTGTAGATCGCTTGACCAGCCTACTGGCTGATGATCTGGCCCGCCCACGCGTGCAATGAAGTCATACAGGAAACCTGATTGCATGGCTGGAGTTCTGGGAAGAGACGCAGCATTTCATTGATGCTGCCCTTGCTGAGCTGGTGGGCATGGGCATGATGACTGTGAGTTGTGATGATTGCAATATGCCAAGATACCTGGGTTGCTTGGATTTCCAGCATAGGGCTCGTCAGGCTTGCCCCACCTGTCAGTGTCAGCGAACACCGCATGCCTCTCAAACAGAACCATCAAGCCTAGCAAGCTGCGTCCACATCTGACAGCAATTCGACAAAACGCAGGGTGCTGGAAAATGGCGTATCCAAAGTTGCGGGGTTTTGTGGGGTCGAGGTGATGCTGCCTTTTGCCGGCAAATCCTTCAAGATTAGCCGCTCGTGCTGAGGTGGCAAATCATTCTTGACTTTCTGAAGCAGCCTGCCCTTTCACCGAAAAGTCAAGACTGTTGAGCTAGGCAAGCGCGGCGCAAGCGTGGCCTGACAAGGGCCCCAACGGCGTTGGTAAAGTCTGGTGAGTCCAGCGGCCCCGCTTGCCTCCGCGGATGCACATGTGGGGGCATCAGCCCAACAACCGCATTATCCAGATAGCTCGTCGTCTGACGGTTTCAGCAGAGTCTGTGGCTAGATGCGAAGGAAAAAACTAGTATGTAGATCTGCAGGGTTTGACCCTGACCCTACACCACGACCATTCCCTGCAAATGGCACAGACCGCAAAGAAAGCAACAAACAGAGCTGTGAACGATGAAAAAGCATACCATCTGTGCTGACTTAAACCTGCCATTGTTGATTGTGGTTATTTGACGCGAAGTTATCTGCAGTATGCCTGCTAAGTAAAGCTATCATGGCACATGCTGAGTGAGTTTGCTATTGCAATGCGAAATTTATCTTAGCCAAGACTCACAAAGACCCCAGCGAGGCGAACGCCATCCACATTGCCCACCTGCGAACGCAAAACTTCTCTTCCAAAAGCAAGCTCTTTCTCACTTGTGTAGAGCTGTTCTGTACACGGCTGAATATTGAATGCCAGCTGTGCTGCCACTTCCTGTGTCGTGCCAACTTCCCCGTTTAAAGTTTATGCGACTTTTGGAAATTATGGGATGGTCGTCGAGTGCGGGGCTGGGTTGCAAAATATTTCAATGTATCCGGACAGTGTTGAGTTCAACAGCATCTAAGCAGAACTTATGAACATGTAGCCACGTTTGCTGCTGGAATGCCCCGAAGAAGCGCATGATGGTTGAGGTGCAGCTGTAGACACATTTTCAAATGATTTTTCTTGTGCAATCTTGGGCATCAACAGCGAGTGTAGTTTCGGTATCTGCTCTGGAACGCGAAGGCTTTCATCATTGTATTCATGGGCGATATATCGCATTCGGACACCACATGTAAGACTCCACTTCGTGTATCCATCTTCATATGGCTTGCTACCAACCAAGAGCGCTAGGAAGTCCTGCAGAATTGCGCCTAGGCGCGCAAACTGCAGAACCACGACAATTACAGAAGCAAAGTGTGGAGCTTTTTGTAGTGCAATGCTGCCAAAATCCAGCCAGCCACCCTGTGGCCCAGGCGATTGGCATGCGCCATGCTGAGCACTATTTGATGGAACTCTACACCCGCAGCTCAGTACACGTTAAATCACGACTAGTAACAGGAACAGAGATGAACATGACCGTGTTGATATACCTAACTGTGCCTCGATCACGCCTCTGCCGATGAATGCTGGCAGCTGCTTGGGAATGATGGTCGCAAAGCCTCAGGCTGCTGGCCATGTCCACAATGCTCCCAGGCAAGATGCCAAACGGCTTGAATGGGAAGCGTCTGGGCCCAATCCAGAAATGCTGGCTGCTACTATCAGAGCAAGCTGCCGAGGCCAAGGATGACCGTGTTAGGATGGTTGATCACCTCAGCTCTCAAATGCAAACCACGAATGTCAAGCACTCTCTTTGAACACGCTTAGCCAGACAAGCCAGGACACTATCGGCTCGTCCATGTAGTACACGGCAGGTGTGAGAACGACATGTTTTCCTCCGAACAAACTGGAAACACCATGTTTCAAAATACGTTTGATTTTATTTCAGCACATTAGTCGCGGTCTGCTGTCTTCTAAATGTCTCTCAATACACTTCAGGCTCCTGCAGAAATGGCAGAATTGATCTGTGCAGCAGTCGTCGTAGCTTTCGTCACAAATACCTTGTCGAATCCGACGGTGGAGCCCGTCCTTATCCAGCTGGCATGGAATAAAATGATAACCACGCATGCAGGTGTCGTCAGGCCGTCAGGCACCAAAGCATTATCGAGAAGCAAGGTGAGCAACGTAGCTGTGGATGCTCTAAGCTCGTGCGGCTCCATGCTACTGTCTTTAAGCCTCCCTCAAGCGCTTGGTCAGCCAGTTGTGCCTGCTCCTCTTCCGCAGCATCCCAAATCGTATTCCCTTTTTCGCTGTAACAACAGTTCGTTATGACTGTAACTGGAACCTTGTCACAGTTGGGCCTTACAGCACGCCATCTAAATCCTTGGCAGGCCGGGAAAACAATTGGTGGTGCCTTTGGAGCAACTTTTTCTGGGTGTCCGGGCAAGCTCGACTACGGCCGTCACCATCATAACTTCCAAGAATTGTCTGCTGCCATTGTTCGTCTTTGCTCTTCAGTTCTTCCGCTTGCTGCAGTTTTGGGTCTTCTGATTTTGGTGAAACCATCCCAAGAGAAAGCAATAAATCCAGGCTAAGGCTTTGGCTGAGAGAAAAGTGAAATACGCTTTCCATCGGGCTCACTAGGAAGAGTTTTCGTAATTCAGGATCCTGGGCCGCCTCCTGATGGCCCGTCTCTGGAGTAAATCCAACCCCTTTTCAAAACATGGGGTGACCGAGTTTCAGCATTGGAGAGAGGAAGGCGGCGAATACTGAAAAAACAATACCGACAGTCCATGCGCAAAAATGTGCCTTTCCCGTCTGCCTTTGACCTGCTTGCAACAGGGTAAGTCCTATGAGCATGAGCATGTACCATTTTACATTTGTTGGCTCCAGTTGTGCATGACGTTGTTCGATGCGGCTTCGATCTTGGTGTTGCTGCCTCTTCATGAAAATCTCCGAGAGCGAAGCTCACATGCGTTCGATGATGGTCCGACTTTGCGCCTCCCTCCTTCGTGCTTTGCCCAGGTCACTGATTTGCACCTCTACCGCCACAGATCTGACTATGACCCTGGCTCAAGTCCAACCAAGCTTCTGCCATTCTGGGCCGGCATGTTTGTTGAGCACCTCGGGATAAATCACAATCCCAAAGCCTACAGAAAGAAACACCTGCTGCAACTTCTGTGCACCAGCTGCTGGGCTCCCAACCTCCGGAATCCGCAGCTTGTACATGCCCTGTCAACAGATTCCCTGCTGGCTGACAGCAGCAAGCAATGGACCCCATGTGGCCAGCGCCTCCTCAAAGAAGATAAACGGCTTCTCGGCAAAAATTTCTGGAGCGCCAATGTACCTTGCTCAGCTCCCTTGTAGGGGAATCTGCGGCACAAATACTACTGCCTCGGCTTCCCTTGCAGATTAGGTACGTTGCACCCGTGTGTCCGGTTTGCCCTTGCTGGTTCTGCGCCGGATCAAAGTTATAGCCTGCCCGCAAGAGCACGTGCTTGAACAATCATTGTTTCCCACGGGCCAAGGCCAGCCCAACGATTTGCCAAGCATGTCGGATGATAGTGCGCACACAGGCTTTGTATTTGGGAACCTTGCATTTCCTAACCCAGAAATCTAAGCTGGAGCCCCAAGACGACTTTGTAAACTCATCATGGCATCCTAATGCAGGCAGGAAGCTATCCCAGAAAGGCATCCCGCTGTCGCGATCTACGCATCCCACAGCTGCATAGCTGCCAATACCTGCGCAAGCAAACACTCTCCAAAGATTGGCTTCTCTAATCTCTGAAGGACTACTCGTTTCAGCGTATTTGCAGGGCAAAGATGCGCTGGTGGAGTCACAACAGCAAAGTTTCGACAACACACGTCTGGTTTTCAGAATGGCTCTGCCAGCCTTACAAGTGCAGTGTATGATATACACGCATCCTGCATACAACCTGTGCCACTGCTCTGGCCTGCGGGATGCGGGTATGGTTTCATCAAAGTTCCTCTCGTGTACCATTGCTGCTGCGTGCCTTTCATCAAGCTGAATAGCTCTTTGATATGAAAGCGGCCACAGCAATTATTGCACTCCCTATACATGGCAACACTCCATGAACAACAAGCTGCCCGTAATGATATCACCGCCGATATCAGCATTCATCAAGGCGCCGCCAGAGGTGTAGTCGTTCCCTGAGAAATATCTGTGGACCCAACATTATCGTGAATCCGTTCTGCAGGCTTCATGACCTACTGCACTGAGCGGTGGCACGGGGCTGCACCCACCCCTTCACAACCAGCGCAGACGCTGTTCTGATGACCACCTCGCCTTACACCTCATTTCCTTCTTGTCATGGTAGCGTGATGTGTCCAAATGCTGCAGGACGCCACCACCGGACAGCTGCAACGATCCGTCGACCTTTACCTTGCAAAATCTTCCAAGGGTGCAAGCTATGGACAATTGATCTTTCTTCCCTGGTGGTGGGATGACCTGTCATACTCATGTAATGGAAGGCAGCAGTCAGCAAAAATCCCTCGCTAATACTCTGGGCTTAAATTCCAGGTGCAATTACAGGTGTCACAGCGCTTCACTGGAAAACCCTGACACCTTAAGATCCCATCATGTTACAAATTGGCCAGCAATCCAAATACAGACCACTGCACACCAACATCCAATGATTCTTGACCTTTCTCCAAGTATCGGCTCTCAGCGGCGCTGCTTGGGAAACGAAGAAATCCAGCTTGCTCTGCGCGACGTGCACGTGCTCAATGGTGCGCCAGAAGGTGTTCCTGAACAGTGGGCTTAGGGCGCTCAAGATGCTCGGCACTCTGAGACACACTGGCTGCTGCATTGAATATTGTGGTCAACCTGAAGCATGTCCAAATGCTGGCTTGCGGCGTGTTGGGCAGCAATTGGCCTCAGACTTCTCAAGCGTGCTCAAAGTGCTGTTGAGCTTTCACGTCTGCTGTTGACCAAGACCTGGAATACCCTCAAACCAACAAGATTCTCATACGTATAAAGGCCAAAGCATGACATGACTATTGACAGCGTCTGTGGATCATCATGTCCATGTTCTCGAACCTGCTTATCCACTGAGTAAGGATATCATGAAGAAAATCAAGCTGGCTGACCCAAATCTAAGTAGAAACAGCTTCAACACATAATGTGCATCGAACATCCAGGTTATCCGGGGCACCACCAGGCTGCTCTGCCGGTTGCTGTTCGACTCGAACTCCTTGCCCTTTCAAGCCTGGTCTAACCGTGACGTCTGTCGGCTGAACGCCCAGGCCGTGGACGCCGCAGTAATACCAAAGATTGATATCCACCTGCACGAGGGATGCCAGCTGCACGGGCATCAAACGGCATCAGTAAATACATGAAACAAATCAGGCGAGCAGCGTGCATACTCTACCGTTGTATTGGAATGCAGAAGGTTCCGAGCATAGGATGACTGTTGTGTCAGTCACATGTGTTGGGATCGTTTCCGGGATGAGTGGGCGGGCAACAGCGGGGGGCACAGATTGGGAACATATTGCCCGCGGCAACCGGGCAGACCAAGCCGGTGGCCTGTTTTGCAAACAAACGAGTCGTAAACCTCGGATCCCACCCCCCCCACCGCCACCAGCACAACCACCAACACCGCCACCATTGCAAGGCGAGGCAAAATGGTTTTAAGAAATGACATGTTTTAGCTACCGGTTTCTGAATTGCAGGGTAAAGGTGGGATGGTTTTCAAAAATGCCAGTAATTGAGTTCCCTGTGTCACTGTTCGTCGTGAATTGCAAGTCGGAAGCGGAATGATTTCAATACGCGCAGGAGCTGTGGTTCGCCCACAAGTAATGCATACGGCTTAGCTTTTGCTGGGTCTTTTAGGGCTTAGGTGTTTTAGGGTTGTTTGGGTTTAGGGATGTTTTTGTTTTTTGAAACAACGCTTTACGCCTTTTCTGCTCAGTCTGTTTTGTGGCAGTCAGTCTACCATTCGATTCTACCCACTTTCAGTCGAGCTTGGAATACTACCCATCCTTCTGAAGGGCTGTTCAACATTTTCCATCTGAGGGGCTTCCAACTGTTCGACCTTCTCATCTTCGAGCAGCGTGCTGGGACACCCAGGATCACTCGAACCCATCGCCTGCACTCCATCATCATCATCATCATCATCTGTCATCATCATCATCATCATCATCATGTCCATCTTGACCACGATGCGCTTGAGGAGGTTGCTGGACATCAGATTTAGGGTTGTTAAAGTTTAGGGTATCTAGGGTTTAGGCTCCCGAGCCGCCTCTAGGGCTTGCGAGCCTTTGGCGTTTCACATCTTGGCAAACACTTCGCCTGCACAGCAAAAAGCCTCCTTGATTTAAGCAAGGAGATTGGCAACTTCTGATTCAGTTTGTTTTTCTTTTTTTGCTATTTTGCGCGCCCAGCTCAAACTGACAGAATTTCCTGGCTCCCTGCGCAGAGATTGCGAGAGGAGGCCTCCCATTTGCCCGCAAATCTTCCGATCCATAGGCGCCTCTGGAGCCGTCAACTTGCGAACCCGTGGCTTTCTTATCTTCTTAAAACACCGTGCCTGCGTAGCGAAGAGCCTCCTTCGTATAAGCAGATCGGCGCGGGCAAAACACAGGTTCTGGCCGTTTTAATGCGTGCCTCTGGAATTTACCTCGGCCACTGTATTCTTGTCCGAAGTTTTGAGAGGAGTCATTACTTGAGTCAAACTACGTATGTTGAATTGCCAGCTGAAGGGATTGGGTTTGATACATGTCTATACTTCAGTCACCCTATTTTGAATGCTACGGCGAAAGAGGGGTCGCTTTCACAAATATCATTACTTGAGCTTCAGTATGTCAATATTTCGCGTGAGAAGGGGCAGGGGGGCTGGTTTCAAAATACGCCTCTGAAACGTTCCTCTGCCACGGTGTCCTTTCAATTGCAAGGCGACGCGGGGCCCGAGTTTTCACATATGTTCCTACTTGTTTTTGCTCCCACTTTAAAATCTCCCATCCTCTTGACTTGCGGGGTCCAGGGTTTAGGTGAGGAAGGATGGAATGGAAAAAAATAGTCTCTGGCACAGGGGCCGCTGAGGCCGGCGTTTCCAAAAAAGAAAGTAAAGCGACAGAGCCGACTTACCCCTCAGAATCGCCCGCCTTCGGTCAACTCTGGGGAAAAAAGTCGGTAGCAGCCACTACGCCGAGTCACCAAGTGTTGAACTGCAAGGCAAAAGGATGGTGCTCTGACAAATGCGTTCAGTTGGTTTCCCAACGCCACTGACAAATTCCTCTACTCGATTCACTTATTGTTGAATGGCAAGCCAAAGGGGATGGTCCTACAAATGCCTCTACTTGTGTTTTGCAACTCCTTTTCAATTGCAGCTTTGAATTGCGCATTGGAATGAGGAAGCACAAGCCAAGACACATGCTAAACCTACGCACACTTCGCCTTGCAATTCGCAAGCAATAGTGATCCTGCGTTAAAACTCAAGCAAAGACATGTACAGTAAAGACATGTACAGTAGACAGAAACGTGGCCTTTCGCTCTGCAGTTGAAAATGAGGGGACTGAAATGGGAGCCTTGTTCTGTGAACCCCTTGCATTGTCAGAGCATGGCATCGTGGCCACCTTTGGCTGGCAAGACAACTATAAAAGCGATGGCACGTTCTCCTGGCACTTGTGGTTTACAAGGGCAGAGTTAGCGGATCTTGTTCCATTTGTGCTTGCAATATCCCATCAGAGGTCTTGCTTGCACTGCTCTGGAGCCAAAATTGTGGGCGATTTCAAGTTGGCATGGTTCCGCTTCAGGGTGTGCTGCAGTGCAGCAGACATTCTTGACGGCGCTTTAGGAAGTCTTCAGCTGATTCACCTACGTCGGCTTTCTTCAGAAATGTCTGTAGTTTCTCTGCAAGTGGCGAACAATCCGCCCTCCATCCCCGATCTGCCGTGATATACCACACTCTGGCTCTTCTAGTCTTTTGCCACCAGTGTCTTCTTGCGGCAGACGCCGCTTTCCGAATACAGATGGTAAAGCAGGGCGGAATGAAGAAGACATGTTTTTGGAGGACGCAGGTGCAATGCCTCAAAAGAACTAGTGTAGCAGGTTGAAGGACACCCCCTTCCTTATCAGAGGCTGCCATGAAAGACCTCTCATTCATGCAAGCACCATGGGCCTCCCCAGGATGGGTCTGCAAAACCATCGGGGACTAATAGGCTTGGCTCAAGCGAGCTTGAAAGGACTCAACACGGCTACTTAAGCCTTCCTCATAGCCGTAGGAAGGCACAGACCAAGATCCTCTTCTCGAAAGACATTGTGCGAGTAAGTCGGTATGTAGCTGAATCACGCTTTTATCCTTGCGCATTTCCGTTAACACTTTCCGAAATTTGCATCGGTAACGAAACCCTTGCACACCTGCATTGTTGCAGGGATGAATCAAGTGGGTGTACGTTAGCTGCTCAAGGTACACTTAGTAGAATGTAGAAAATACACAAGACGCTGCGGTCACAAGCTGCCAGAGCAAGAGCCATGCCTCGTGCTCCCCAGGCTTCAACAAGATCGCTGTCCGATGGTCGCCGAATTGAGCATCTTCATCCCAGCTGATCTCGCAGGAGGTGGTGATTGGGTCAGATATCGTAGCTCAACATGGTGTTACATACAATTTGCTGGTGCCACCGACTTACGAGGCATCCAGCATCAAGGTGTAACACACACACACACACGCACACACCAACTCTATCACGCACAGGCCAAGGCACATACTGCTCATAAAGGCTTTGAAATCTGTCCTTCCAAAAGAAGATACCGCTTTGAAAATGCATAGAAAGAAAAAGATAAAGGACTACTCCTGCGATGCTGCTCAGCACATAAGCTCAGGACTTTACACAAAGACACGCTAAACCAGCATAACATGATCACTCGACATTGCTCAAGCTTGTGGAGCTCCTCGACTGCCGTGGAGGACTGTCCAGGTTCCAAGACCTAGGATAGTAAGCAGTCATGCTCAATGCACTAATGTGCAAACAGGCATCGAATTCGCCATCAGCAGCCTGGTCACGATAACGTTGGGTCCGAAGTCTGGGTTCGTGGGCTCTGGCTCAGAGCTTTTCCTGAGATGTGGCAATTAATGCTTGTTACCTCTCTGGAAAGCGTTTTTAAAGAACATTTGGCATCCCTTCTGCTGCACGGTGGCACTTTTGTTTTGGCCTTGTTGTTGAGCTGCACGAACCCCGTCACATCAGGCTGCTCACAGCCAGTGTCGCCTGAGCTTCAACTTGCGCATGCTTCCGAATGACCCCTTCAACGTCCAAGTCTGAAATGCAACTGGTGGCCACAGCTGTCATCGGTCTGTGCTCGTGCTACCAGGAGCAGCAGGCCCACGAGCTGCGTCCTTCAATGGATCAGTGGATCGTGATCGCAGGTGGGCCAGCAGATTGTGAAAGCTCCTCATGCGTAAGGTTGTGCCCGTAGCCCAGGTGATTGCTGAGCTATATACAGCTGGAGCCAACAGCGAAATCCAAGGGCATGCCATGGAGAATGATACAGGGGGTGTCTCAGGACTGCAGCAAGTCGCAGTAGCACACCTTTGACATGCTAGCTCCTTGCTGGATGAAGTTCAGCACAAGAGGCTGGAAAGCCATGAGTGAGACTCGATCAGCCAGAAGCAGTTCTTCAGGCCAGCGCACTTGACGCTATCTGCGCTGCTGCTTGATGTCCTTAACCTGCCTACGCTAGATGCCATGACCACAATCGCATGCTCGAGAACTGAAGGGTGAAACATGAAAACCACATGACTCAGTCAGCTGGCCTTGCTTGGGTACGTGTGGAAGCTTAGCAGACTTAGCAACAACAGGCTAGTTGCAGGCTTATTCAGGGCCGAGCTCTTCATCTTGCTCAGCCTGCCGAAACAGCAAAGCTCCTCGCCCCCTCAACGATACATGCTGCTTTGCTGCAGCTTATGAGTGGTGAGTCTAGGATTGGAGAATCGCCTGCTCTCCAAGTGATAGCAACAAGTCTGTGTGACTTTTGCAGCCTCTCATCGACAACCTGCCTCTTCCTCCAATATGGCTTGGGGTGGCGAGTCCTGAGTGCTCTTGTGAAAGCTTTCATCAGAATTGACTGTCGATGCATGACTGCATTAGCAGTGTGCTGACAAACACTGCCTTGGCAACTACCAATCCTGACCTGTTGAGGGCAATTCCAGCATAAGTGGCTGTTTTTGTTTGCCCCCTGCGCAGCTCACCAGGACTTGCTGCACGCGAGCATGCCTCTGTAGCTGCATGCCCTACACGCCCTCAAGCTCCTCCCACTTCCTAGATGTGCAGTGTGTGCAAGCAGTTCAGCTTCTCCCGGTCTCCTTCCGGCCAGCTGCAATTACCTCCAGCACTGGTCTTGAAATCGCTACTTTCCATCGCTTGCAGCTGCTCCCATCACGAAAGCTAGGCTATGCTACATCCTTCAAGCTCAAAATGCACTGACTGCTGCGAGCTGCATAATTTTATGGGTACTGCCTGCTAAATAGGCAGCAACGACAGATGGTTCATTCAAAAAGGGAGGTGCGACAGTAGACGAACCCAGTCCTTTTGCCTCCAAGAAGGCCACCAAATCTTCGTCGAGTTTGACGGCGTCAGCCAACTGGGTTCAGCGTGCTTCCAATGCGCATGGCCAATGTGCCAGGTAACTATCCGAGTCTGGCATGTGAGCTTGGGCTCGAGCCAGGAACGTGTCGTGGGGCAGCAGGTCTGAATCAATAATGGCCTGAGGCCAATGCCATATGCTGGAAGCAAGCCCATTCAGGTTCAAGCTTCAGCGAGGCTTTTCTACCATGTAGTTCGAGTTGAGGCTGCTAATGCCTGAGCATGTCTTCACTATTTGCAGAGCGGCGCTCAAGCTGTTCAGTGTGGCTGTGAGATCTCAAGCCACTTCTTCGCATGAGAGGCCTTCGGTAGCATTCGTACATTGCTCCGGCAACTTGGTGAGCTAAGTGTTGTACATTCGGGGTGCAGAACGGTTAATGAGGGGGGTTAGGCACGCCGGCGGAGCTTTAATTTGCTGGGCGTGGAGTTCCCACCATGATCCGTGCATGTATAAGTATGAGCGTGAGCGTGAGTATGAGTAGAAGTATGAGTATCAAACACCTACAAGCTACTTCAAACTTCGATGGTGTGACTGTTCCGATGTTCTGTGGCTGTGGACGGGTTCACCTCATTCCTGAAGGATATGTGGTTGCTTGATTTACCTGTGCTTCATGCTGGCGTGCTACGCTTGTGAAACAGTTCTGCTGTGTAACATGGATTTGCAGATTCTGCTTATCCTCCTCTTAGCTCAATCCTGGTTCCTCCACGTTTTGAAGCTCGCACTGGGCGGCGACACAGTATGAAAAGAAAAAACGTCACGATCCCAATGTGCTCAGGCTTCACGAATAGTCACGTACGAAGCTAAGCTGCGACCACAAGCGCATGAAAGAATGGCTCAATCATTCAGATTCACAAATGTCAGCGCCTGCATGAGCTCGCGCTGGTACGGTGCTTCTACAGACTCGGACGCCCGCATCCTGCATCTCTCTATGCCAGTAACATTGCTATGTTCTCATTCTCAGACCCTGGCCGCGCCTCGCTAGAAGCTCTTCGAGCCAAGCTACACGCTGTGGGGAGTCGATATCAGCCACCTGAATGTAACAAGTTGGAGACGGGTTGCCAAGTTTTGCCACGTTAGGGAAATCTCAGTTTCCACTCAGCATGCCCGGTCACAAAGTAAGTCTGCAGCAATTGCGATGAAGTCATCGCGGGGCACTCGAGTCGCTGTGGCCTTTGTCAGAATTTTTCATGGCCAAGGATCTCAAGTTGTCTTCAGTCTCCTCGCTTTCAAGAGTCTGGGTGTCAGACCGCGTCCACATCATCGTACGGCTGAGGCCGTAGAAGGTCCACGAGCACTTCCCCCGTCGAGGGTTCAACCTGTGGCTTCAAAAACTTTAGAACATGGCTCCTCGGAAAAGCCCTGAAGCTGTTTCAATGCAGGCCTCATTGCCACAAAGCCGAATGAACAACCTCTGCAGGATGGCTGCTGAGGTCTACATGCAGTCCCATGGAAGAACTATACCGGTAGACCCACGAATCAGCTCAAATGTAACGGATCAATACGTGGTGTGAGCTGGATCAGGGGGGCCCGACGTATCGGATCAGGTGGGATCACACGAATCGGATCAGCAAGCCGGATCAGCTCTACGGATCACACGGGATCAGCGAACAGGAGCAGGTATGACGAGAGGGCCGCTTCTGAACCAAGGATACTAAAGTTTAGTCGTTGCAGAAAGTGCGGATGGAAGGATCATACTAGGGGACTAGCCCCCTTCTGGCACTCTCTGATGCTAGTAGAGATGGC